AACAAGGGGCGCGAAACCCTGCACAAGGCAGCTGCCGCCCTCCAGAATCGGGCACGTCGGGACGCTGAACAAATCTCGGGGCCCAAGACTGAGCCAGTGGGGTCGACACCGCTCAGGCCTTGGTGGACGTGTCGAACTGCCGTGCCGCTGGTGCCTCTGTAGTCTCGCTCGAGTTCGCGCTGGGCTCTGCCATGGTGGGTGTATCCGTAAGGTTCGGCGGCGGCTGCAATGGTTTAGTCCAGGGTCCCCCGCTGGCAGCTACCCCTTCGCAGGTGACGGGGGGGGGTAGCTCACCACGGAATTCCAGAGATCTTCTGTCGGTGCCGCAATCGCTGCTCCTGCTGGTGTCGGAAGTTCGCACTGCGGCCCTGGCAGGGGTTGCCGATGGGTGCTGCTGGTACCTGGATTTGCTTCGCACCGTTTCATCCGCTCAGACTTGAAATTACGCTGGTCGGAGCGGCGGTGTCGGCTTATGTTGCCAAGATCGTCGTGACGTCGTTTGTGAGCAATTCTGATGTCAGCAAAGGTTACCTGGTCGACGCCACCATTCATTTGTAGCTTGGCGACGCAAACATCCTTTCGGTTGAGGTGGGTGTCCTGCCGATCCGTCAAGGTTGCCTTCCGGCGGCCCTTGCCGCCTGATGGCTTGGGCTGCGGCGGTAACCCGGAGAAGCAATTAAGGAACCCCACGGCGTTATCATTAGCACCGCGCCGTATTTAAATAATTATTTGGGGGGGTTTTCGCCGAGCGATATTATTAGCACCGCGCAAATGGAAGGAAAATAAATAATTCCAGCGCCCCGCCTCGGGTGGCATCCCAATTAGAATTGTAATGAGAATAAGAATACCCCCTGCGATCTGGTGTACCCCCTCCTGGTGCCAGGATAACGCTTCCGGGTGCCGGGTGCGTTATCCTTTCACCGGAGAGGGGGGGGGGTCCTTAATCGCTTACTCGGGTTATACGAAACGCACGGCGGAGGTTTTCTGGAACCGTTGCGGCGCGCGCGGGGACACGCAGGATGATGTGACACGAGTCCGTCGTGTGGTGAAAGCTACCGGCCCCATTTCGCCATGACGTCTACGGAATGTTGGGGCCTCGTGTATCGGCTGTGCCCTGAGTCGGGAAACCCCCGAACCGAGGCCCATGAGGGGGAGAAAGAGAGGCGGGGGATGGAGGGGGGGACGGGAAAAAAACAGGGGGGGAGAGAGGGAGGAGAACCTGAAGGAAAGCTGGGACGGGGGACGGAGACAATTAGAGAGAGAGAGAGAGGAACTGACAAGAGAGAGAGAGAGAGAGAAACAACAAAAAACATATCGACAGAGAGAGAGAGAGACAACAAACAGTGACAGAGGGAGACGCGACGCAGGTGGAGGCGGCAGCGGGAGGGAGGTGGGCAGGGGGTGGTGGCGGGGGACAGGGGGGAGATGGAAGGGGGAGGTGGAGAGGGGAAGGGGGCGGATCGTGGTGACATGCAAAGGGCGAGAGAATGTGGGCGAAGGGAAAAAAGGGGGGGCAGAGAGAGTAAGAAGACAGAGAAAAGGGAAAGCGCAAAGTGGAATGGTTGTTGAACTGGCGCCCGGCAATTGCCGACTTCAAAGGGACGCGCAAGGCAGGGGACTCACCTCAGAAACCGCCCAAGAAGAGCGCCGCAATTCCCAGCAACATAATTTGCGACGACGGTGCGACTACAAAGACGGCTACGACGACGGCTGGCGGACCAGACACGTCCCGGGCGGTTTCCACATCCGCATCCAGTTGCGGCGACGAGAACGCCCAAAAACGCGCAACAGAAATCTGCGAACTGCGCCCGCATGTCGGAAAAACGCATCAGTCAGAACGATGTCGGGGCGATCCTCCCGAGCCGATGCACGTTTGCGCCCCTGGTGGACGAACGAATGGGAAAACTGTTTCAGATAAAAGCCACCACACACACCAAACGAGAAGGGCTAAGCCTGCCCGACCTGCTCCTTGGCCGTGATCCTCTGGATGGGGGCCGTCGCCCTCGCTTCGTAAGACGGCCTCGGGAGCCTCGAGGGTGGATCGAACACCGCGTGGTGAAACACCCTGCCGTGAAAACGAGTCGGAAGGCAGGCCTGGCGGGCACCGGCCTGCGACCACGACGCCCCCTCGCAAACTGGGAAGAAACCGATTCGCGAACCGGCCCTGTACTGCGGGGGTCCTGTCAGCCTTACAGAGCCGACAAGCTAAACCGCGCAGTCCACACACCCAGGGAAGGAACGGGGCAGGGGCTGTTTGGTGAACGCCCAGGGCCGGTGTGTAAACGCCAATTACGTATGGGGGTCGGGGTGGTTTTCCATTCCTTGAAGCTACAGGCCTCGGAAAAAATTAGCGAACACTCATGCCACATTCATCTGTGAACGCCTCCCCATCCCCCCAATGTTCAAAGTTGGCTGTGGGTCTGATGAGTTGCACCTCGACCGCAGTCTCCCCCGCGCGTGCCAACCTTGAGTTTGGGAGGCAAGGGGGTGTTCACTGATTGTTTCCCTCTGCCGTATCAACCGAGGCCCCCGACAGAGCAGAAACCACAGTCACCGCAGCTGCGGACACGAGTTCTGCGAGGCTCCGAATAAGACCGCACCACAGGTCGCAAGTCGGGCCGCGGGCGGGTCGCGGATGTCGGGCGGGACTTAATGGGGGGGTCATAAACGGGGGGATCAGAAAAGGTCCCCTTTCGTGCCCCTTTCGGGCCCCTCCAGAGCCCCAGGGGGCTCGTTTAGGTACTGTTTGGGTACCTTTTCGAACCACCCTCGCCACCCCCCCATTTATGACCCCCCCATTACGCGGCGCCCAAGGGTGGGCCGCGGGCGGGTCCCGGGCGGGTCGCGGGCGAGGACGACGACGGCAAGGACGGTCAGCGTGAAACGATTCGCGCTCCTGTGCCCGCGCGCCGCTCCGCATGGAAAAAAAACCCAGCCTCTCGATGCCCGCCTCCTTCGTCGTTGATCGTGCCCCCTTGGGGGGGGCATGGATGCCTTCCCTGCGAAGCGTCATTGGCGCAGCCCTTAAAAACAAGACAGTCAAACCTAATGGGAAACGGGGGCAGCGAGGAGGAAGCGAGCGGAGGAGGGGAGGGCGGCGGGAACGGGGCGAGAGTGAGGAAGGGAGAAGATGCAAGGCGAGAAGGATCAGCTAGAGGATTCGCAAGAGGCATTGGCAAGGACGTCTCGGGCGAGAGCGCGACTTCAGAGCGCCGATAGAGAGAGATCTGTGAGATCATTGTCAAGAAATTGACAGGCGAGAGGGCGGCCCCCGTGATTATGAAGGCAAGGGGATTTTGGCTGGAAAATGGGGAAATACGGTAGAGGGAAACAATTAGTGAACACCCCCCCCTGCCCCCCAAACTCAAAGTTGGCACGCGGTGACGGGGGGGAGACTGCGATCGAGGTGCAACTCATCAGACCCACCGCCAACTTTGAACATTGGGGGAAGGGGGAGGCGTTCACAGATGAATGTGGCATGAGTGTTCGCTAATTTTTTCATAGGCCTGTACCAGGCGGGAACCGCTGCTGCTGTAAACCCAGGGCCGACGACAGAGTCTGAAGCCCAATACTACTCCCCCTCGTAAAAAGCAGCAAAGATAACACACATCAAAAAAAAGGGCGAGCCCCGGGAGGGGCATGACAACTCAAACACAAAATGAGCACCGGAGGGGGAGGCCGTAGAAATGCGAACTCAGCCATCTGACAACCGCCTGCTCTGAGAAGCCGACTGGAGCTCCATGCGGTCCTCACTCTCCCTCGCACCCGCCCTCCATATCTCGTATCGCGCACACTTTCGGGGGCAGGGTGCGGGGGGGACTGTTCCAACTCCGGGGCACATTCAACCCCAGCAGAGGGACAACGGGCGAGTCAGGCGGGCGCACCCTCGCGGGCGGGCCCTGACAGGCGGCCTCCGGCCGGCGGCCCATGCGGGCGGGGCATTCACAGCTCGGGAGGAGTCAAGGGAGGGAGGGCTCAATTCCAGGGCAGAGCCACAGCCGAAGCTGTCAGCCATGCACCCTGCAGGCACACCATGCCGCCATGCCACGCATGCGCGCTGCTTCGCCCTCGGCGCCAGCCGCGGACACTGCCTGCAGGACGCCGATGCGACCAATCAGACCTCGCACTTTGCTCTCGAGCCTGAACCTTGCTGGGGCAAAACCTTGCTGAACCAGAAAAAACCGCTCTCCAGCCTGAACCTTGTTGCCCAAAGAAGAATCACTCGCGCTCGAGCGAGAACGCCCCTGTCAATACTCCGCAGGTCAGCACCACTCATGCCCTACAGAGGTGAGCACGCAACAAACTGCAAGCATAGTCCGTGCCACGGAAGCCCACTTCAGCTACGGACCCGGCAGCGATGCAAGACCGTTCGGCCCACTTCTTCACCTTGAAAATAACATTGACAAGCTCAATCCTCGAACCTCGATCCTCGAACAGCCGCTCGCCCTCGCCGACGACGCCACCGCCGCCGAGGACGAATAGAGACCTCCTAGATGGGGTCCGAGTAGATGAGGTCGGAGGATCTCGCCGCATCGCCTATACATCGGCGATGCATCGCCGATGCGTCGGCGATGCGCTGGCGACGTCGGCGGTGCATCGGCGACGTCGGCGTGGAGAAAGGTGGGCCCCCACATCGAGCCGCATCGCCGATGCATCGCCGATCGCGTCGGCGATGCGGCGCGATCCTCCGGCCCCCTCTACACCGACCCCACCCACGAGAGGCCCAGAGCGAGGTGGCCAGCTCAGGCCGCCGCCCCCCCCCCGGGCGGGTCCGCCGAAGCGCCGCCGAAGCTCTCCGAACGGGCCGCCGGGCGACGCCGCCGGGCCGCGCCGCCACGTGAGCCGCCGAGTGGGCTGCCCAGGGCGCCGCCGCTGCGCCGCTGCCGGGAAGCCGAACGGAAGCCGAGGCGCCGTCGAAGTGGGCCGCCGAAGCGGGCTGCCGAAGCGGGCCGCCGAAGCGGGCGGCCGAGGCGCCGCTGCAAAGGGCCGCCGGAGGGCGCCTCCGCCGCGGCGCCGCCGCTGGACGACGCCCCCGCGCCGCTCACCGCAGCGGGCAGCTCGCCTCGGTCGGCGCGGCGCGGCCGGGGCGGCGGCCGAGGGCGAGGGTGCGAGGGCGCAAGTGCCACGTGGAGACCCGCAGTAGCGGATCAGCGGATGAGAAAAATTAGAAAGAGCGGCAGAGTCCACTCGTGTAGCAAGGATGCGCGACAAGGGTGTAAGGGCCTTGGACACCAACAGGTGGATGTTTCGAAGCTGTTCGAACGGGGCGCGGCCAACGAAAGTGGCCGAGGATGGACCGAGGAGGCAAGAATGCAAGGGTACCCCTGGGCAGGTTGCCCATCCTTACTATGCGGGTTGACGGTAGGACCCGCCGTCTGTGCGATTATGAGCAGACGCTCGCTCTGCTGTTTACCTGCGTGTACCATTTGCTCCATATGGTCACAACATAGGTAACGCCGAGGGCACTTACACATCAGTTCCTCGAGAGGCAGTAAGACAAAGCTGCGCGACTTCTACAGTTCCGCCACAGAGATCCTCACTCTTGCAACAGTTCGATTGCAAACTCAAGTTGGGAATCACCACGCATGCCACCAACCTGCATTAAATCTACACGGTGGCTGCACTTGTAAAGGATATCCAGAGGCAGCGCCGTGGGGCTGCGAAAAGTTATCACCAAAACCTGAAACAATACCCTGCGACGTACCCAACCCATCGGCACCAAGGGATGCTATAACATGTGCCGATAAAGTGTGACACCAACGCTGTAAGAGACGGTGCACGGCGGATATCTATATTGTAGCCGACTCTCAGGACAGAGGTACAACATGCCAGGAAGCAATAGGAAGCATTGTGCTGGGAAGGAGAAGCAAAAGGAATACATCGGGGTGGAAGAACAATCACCTCGGCAGAAGCAGCGAGATGATGGAGCCTGGGCAAGCTAAGGTCACATAGGCGGAGGCACAACCAGACAATAAAGTGTTTCGTTTTTTCATGCCGAAATGTTCAACACCTCAGACCCCCCCTCCTCCTCCTCCTCCTCCTCCTCCTCCTCCTCCTCCTCCTCCTCCTCCTCCTCCTCCTCCTCATCGTCCTTCCCCCTCGTCTCCCTCGCCTCCCTCCTCTCGTCCTACTCCTCCTCGTCAAACTGCGACAGTCTCACATTTCGCAGTTCCCCCCCAGGGATGGCGAGGTCCCCTAGCCACCCCAGCAGCCCTCGAAAGTGGCGGACGTTTCACACTTCGCAACCTCCCCTCAGGATGGCGAGGTCCCGTGTGCGAGTGCGTGGAACCCCACTGTGCTGGCCCCCCCAACAGCCCTCGAAAATGGCAACAATTTAACAATTTCACACTCCGCAACCCCCCAGGGATGGCGAGGTCCCGTTTGGGCCTGCGTGGGGCCACACTGTGCTGGCCTCCTCGGCAGCCCTCGAGAGTGGCGACAATTTCACACCTCGCAACCTCCCCCCAGGGAAGGCGAAGTCCCGTTCGTGTCTGCGTGGGACCCCAATGTGCTGTTTTCCCTCCCAGCAGCCCTCGCAAGTGGCGACAGTTTCACACTTCGCAGCCCCCCCAAGGATGGCGAGGTCCCGTTTGGGTCTGCGTGGGACCCCACTGTCTTGCCCCCCGCCCCCCCCCAGCAACCCTCGAGAATGGCGGCCGTTTCACGCGTCGCAGCCACCCCAAAGATGGCGAGGTCCCGTGTGGGTCTGCGTGGGACCTTCCTGTGCTGGCCCCCCCAGCATGCAGGCGAGAGGGGGACAGAGCTTGCTCCCCAGCAGGAAGGTGCAGACAGGAGCAGGCAAGTGAGAGGGGGACAGCGGGCGGGGAAGGGAAGGGAGTCGGCACCCCACTGCTCTCTTCAAAACGAGAACCCAACCAAGGGAGGGTTGGGAAAGAAAGGGATCCTGGTGTAAAGGCTGCTACAAAAAAGTGCCCCATTATGGCGGCCACTGCAGATGCCCCACATGTTCAGTCCTGTTGGAAGGTTGCCACAAACAGAATCCTGTTGCAGGGGCCAGTACACCAATATTTCAATGATGGGGGATCTGCACCATAGAATAGCAAGAGTCACAGGCTGCCTCAGCCGTTTTATTTTGACGTGCGAAGTCATATAGCTGTTATGTGTATTGTTCTTTGCCCCAAGCCTCGCTTGGTTGGGTCATCGTTTTGAATAGAGCAGTGGGGTCGCCGGCTCCCTTCTCCTCCTCCTCCTCCTCCTCCTCCTCCTCCTCCTCCTCCTCCTCCTCCTCCTCTCCTCCTCCTCCTCCTGCCCCCGCTGGTTCTCCTCTCGGCTACAATGGGGTCCCACGCAGATCCAAACGGGAACTCGCCACCCCTGGGGGGTTGCGAGGTGTGAAATTGTGGCAACTCTCGAGGGCTGCTGGGCGGGACCAGCACAATGGGGCCCCACGCAGACCCAAGCGGGACCTCGCCATCCCTGGGGGGCTGCGACGCGTGAAACCGTCGCAACTTTCGAAGGTGGCTGGGGGAGCCAACACAGTGAGGTCCCTCGCAGACCCAAACGGGACCTCGCCATCCCTGAGCGGGCTACGAAGTGCGAAACTGTCGCCACGTTCAAGGGCTGCTGGGGGGGACCAGCACAATGGGGCCCCACGCACACCCAAACGGGACCTCGCCATCCCTGGGGGGGCTGCGGAATGTGAAACTGCCATACTTTTTCACGGCTGCTGGGGGGGTCCGGCACAATGGAACCCCACGCAGACCCAAACAGGACCTCGCCATTCCTGGGAGCTGAGAGATGGGAAAGTGTTGCCACTCTCGAGGGCTGCTGGGGAAGCCAACGTAGTGGGTCCCACGCAGACCCACACGGGACCTCGCCATCCTTGGGGTGGCTGCGACGCGTGAAACGGCCGCCACTTTTGAGGGCTGCTGGGGGGGGGGGGGCAAGCACAATGGGATCCCACGCATGCCCAAGCGGGACCTCCCCATCCATGAAGTGTGTAACTGTACGGCAACGGCTTCTGGGGGGGCCACCACGATGGGGCCCCACGCAAACCCAAACGGGACCTCGCAATCCCTCGACGGCTGCGGAGTGTTAAACTGTTGCCACTTTCGAGGGCTGCTGGGGGGGCCAGCTCACTGGGGCCCCACGCAGACCCATGCGGGACCTCGCCATCCCTTGGGGGCTGCGAAGCGTGAGACTGTCGCCACTTTCGAGGGCTGGGGGAACAAGCATAGTGGGGTCCCACGCAAGCACAAAACGGGACCTCGCCATCCCTGGAGGGCTGCGAAATGTGAAACTGTCGCCTTTTTCGGGAGCCGCCACTCTTGAGGGCGTCTGGAGGAGCCAGCGCAGGCCCCACGCAAACCCAACGGGACCTCCCCATCCATGGGTGGCCGCGGAGTGTGAAACTGTCGCGACGTTCCAGGGCTGCTGGGCGGGCCAGCACAGTGGGGATGCAGATCCCCAAAGACCTCGCCATTATCTCGCTGCTTCTGCCGAGGTGAGTGTTCTTCCATCCAGATGTCTTCCATCTGCTTCCCCTTCCCAATACAATGCGTCCTGGCTGTTGTACCTCTCTTTTGCGAGTCGGCCACGCACACTTCGCACGACATAGGCATCCGCCGTACACAATATCTTGCAGTGTTGCTGTCGCAGTATTGTCGACGCACCTTACATAGTCCCTTGGTGCCGATGGCCTGGGTACGTCGCAGGGTAATATGTGGTGATATTTCAAAAGTTCTTTCAGTGTGGGGGATATGCAACCAATCTGAATAGCGACAACCACAAATTGTCCCAACCTCTCGTAACTCCCCATGTGGAACACACACACACGTGTTACTTTCTCTGGTGTTTGCATGAATTTCCGGCTTTCCCGGTAAACTTCCGCGGCTCCACGGAAACGCCGCTGAGATCTCCGTGGGGCCGCTGGAGCTTAACAAGAAAAGAGGCAATGCATGGACAACGAACAAACATGCTCGTTCACATGAAATAAATGAAGACATACCAAATACAATGATTCTCGATGTCTTATGGCGCCGACCCCCCACAACTGAAATACTGTTTTGTCACAACCATTGATTACAAAACTAGTCCCGTGATGGCGGCCGTCCGAAAAGGATTATAAGTGCGAGGCATCTGCAGTTGCCGCCGCAATTGAAATCTATATGTCTCAACCTTTACGTATGGATTCGTTTTCCCTGCAATGTTACACCAATATTTCCATTGGGGGGATCTGCAATTTACACCACAATTAAGATCACCTGGTAGCAAACTATACACATTGATTACTTCTATAAGACCACCACAGAGTCATCCCTCTGTACACGGTGCGACAGAAGGGTTGCAATGTTGGAGGCCGTGGACCACACTGCCGTTGTCCCACAATTGCAAAAATGTCTGTGAGGTCGCAACAACAAAGAATTGTTGTGCAAGTGCTGCTGCGAAAGGGTCTCAATTGTGGCGGTCACTGCAGGGGCACCACAATTCAAATTCTCTGTGGGGGATCGCCACAAACAGGATCTTTTGCAAAGGCAGCAACACAAGGATTTCAAGTATGGGGTATCTACACCAGAAAAATAGCCAGAGCCACCAGTTTCCCTAGTTGGTTTGCGATCTTGCCATGTGGCAACGCATGCGTGCTTTTGGTGTTCATGGTTGCTTCCCTAAGGTCAAGGCGCTGCCGCAGCAGATCCCCCGCGGTTGGAATCCTTCTGTAAAACCACCACAACAGAAACGTCCTGCACAGGCCGCTACAAGACGATATTGCGGAGGCCACTGCAGATCCACCGCAATAGGAATCTGTTTTGCACGATCGCCACAAAGGGAATACATTGCAAAGTGTGCGACTAAAGGATTTCAAGTCTGCGGGGTCTGCACATAATAATCCCGTTGTTATGCCATTACTGAGGGAATGTTCGAGCAAAGCCATCACAGCGCTCACCACACGTGTCCGAAAGAATACAGAACAGGCGCGTTGGAATATTCACAAGCAGCTGACATGCGACGAGGTTGCTTAATGAAAGAGAACAGAAGTAATCAGGGACATGCAAGAGAGCCGGGAGAGCTCTGACAAGGAGGTCCAGAAAGTCATGCAACATCAGAAATGATTAATCCACTCAATGGTGATCGAACTGATGAAGAGAAAACATAATGAATCCACTGATGAACCACATCGCGCCGCTCACGAGGCGAACTCAACCAACAACCTTGCGGTGACAACCGTACAGACAGTGGGTCGGACAGGGGGGGCGGGGGGCGAGAGTGCCTGCGCGTGCCTGGCGTGGGACGAGCCCTTCCATACAAGGAGGGGGACGGGGGGCGGAGGAGGGACGGAACGGAAGGAAAGGGCAAGGAAGATACAGGGAAAGATCAGCTGGGACAAGACGGACGGGAGTGTGGAGCAACGAGTAAGAGCATGAATGATGAGAGGAAGGGTGAGAGAGGAAAGGGATCGGCGGGAGGAGAAAACGAGCACCTGACCCGATCTACCCAGTCGGCCTGAGAGACCGCCCATCCGTCCGTGAGGGCCCAGAAGTGGAATGCGACAGGGACGAAGATGGGCGGGGAGGAGGCGGTGGGGGGCTGGGACTACAAGGATGACGAGAGGGAGCCTGAGGCACAACATGGAGCAGGAGGAGAGGCGAGGAGCAGGGTGGATCGAGGACATAAGCGAACTAGGAAGGCGATGAGGACGATGAAGAAGCCAAGGAAGGCGAGAGCGAGAGTGAGAGAAACAAAAACACCCACACAAAAAACGAGAGAGAGAGAGAGAGATCGATGGAGAGGGAAAGAAAGAGAGAGAGAGAGACAAAACAAGAGAAAGAGAGAGAGAGAGAAGGAGAGAAATAAAACTTTATATACAAGAAAATTAAGGGTCGGAGGAGGAGAGGGAGAACCGGGTAGGACAAGGCCGAATGAGCGGTTCAGAACAGGGATGGAGGATGAGGTGTGTGGTGGGGGGGAAATGAGGGAGATTGAAGACAACATAGGTAGAACAGACAGAAGACTGCGAAGACAACCTATGAGCATGAAAGAGACGAGCATGAAAGAGAACGCGGAGAAGGGCTCGGGCGCACCAAGCTCTCCTGAAGCGCTGGCACCCTCCATGGTTTCCTCGGGCCGGTGCACCGAGCGAGGCACGGCGGGGATCACGGAACGGACCGTGCGCTGCATGACCCGGAATCTGCGCATACTGCACACTCTCTGGAGACCGTGCCGTTCCCTCTCGATTCACGTGGAATCCACGTCGAATCCACTAGACACGCGCGTTCCACGATTCGCAAAAATAATCCCGGGCGTAGGTGGTCTAGAGTGTTTCCTCTGTTGCCCCTCCGTTTTCCCCTTCGGGGAGGGGTTTATCACTGTTCCCTATTCGTATACATCCCCTCCCCCAAGCGACTGGTAGCCAACCCAATGAGGGCACCCCCCCACAATCCCTTATAAAAACACGCACACAAAACAAACTCTGCCTCCTACAAACTCGGAACATGCGCAGCGAACCCGATGCGGCCTCCCCCCACCATCCCTTTCAACAAAACAATACACAGTACACTTGGCGGCGGCGGCGGCCGCGGCGGCTGCGGCGGGGGCAACGGCTGCGGCGGCGGCGGCGGTGGCGGCGGCGGTGGCGGCGGCGGGCGGCGCGGCGGCGGCGGGCAGCGGCGGCGGCAGCGGCGGCGGCGGCGACAGCGGAGGCGCAGCGGCTGCGGCGGCAGCTGCGGCGGCGGCGATTCGGCAGCGGGGGCGACGGCGGCGGCGGCGGCGGCGGCGGGCAGCGGCGGCGGCGGCGGCGGCGCGGCGACGGCGGCGGCGGGCGGCGGTGGCGGATTCGCCCCCAGCAGCTGCCCATTCAGAGACGACTGCTGCATATGCTGCGGTTCGGGCCTGGCTCGGGTGCTACGTATGTGTTGGGAGGGCGGGTGGGAGTGAGCGAGACGGCTTGCGGGCGGGGAGGGCGTCTTGACCCCTCCCCCTACCCCCTCCCCTGGACCTGGGCGGGGGGTTTCGCGACGCGTTGGAGCGTCCAAAACGGCCTCGGCGAGGAAGCCACGATCAGTGGTTTTACTAAGGTTTTGGCCCCATTTTGGCATCCTGAAGGAGGGGGCGCAAATTGGGGACCCCTCTTCCTGTGATCGATCTCACCCAAAATGGCCCAAAGATGGCCCCCAAGGCTCCCAAGGGTGCCCCAAGAGGACCCCAAGAGGTGGCCAGGAAGCCCCAAGAGGCCCCCAGGATGCCCCAAGAGGCCCCCAAGAGACCCCCAATAGGCCACAAGAGACCCCCCAGAGGCACCCAAGATGCTCCAAGAGGCCTCGGCGAGAATACCAAATCATTGATTACACCAAGGTTTTAGCCACATGATGGCCTCTTGGGGGGGGCACTGATTAAGATGACTCCAGGAGCGCCTGGGGGAGCCCAAGATGACCTCCAAGATGGCTCAAGATATCCCAGGATGACACCCGAGGGCGCGGATACTCGTGCAACGATTTTACACATGGGTGGTGGTGATGTGATTTGAATGTGAGAGCGCGATGCGTGGGTGGAGGGACATTGACTGATATGCCTAACAAATGGTGCGCGTAGTTACGCATATGGCAATCTAAGCCAAGGGCGAGTACATTGAGCATTTCCTTCTAAAGGGAGGTTTTTTGCATGTGTGCGGAACCTCGAACCTGTTGCCTATACTCAGCGGCGCTTCGCGCACCTGCTGCACAATGTGCGCGGGGCCTGCGGGTTCTCAAGGGCGGAGTTTGGAACAGGAGCAATCCGTCACCGTACCTTCAGCACGCAATGGAATGCCCCCAAACTCATGCCGCTGTGAGAAGTCGGAATCGGGTGTTACTGTAATGTGTGGAAGGCCCGGATCCCTGCCGCATACTTGATAACTATCCGACAACTCCGCTCCAAACGCGGGGTCCTGCTTCAGGAAGCCAAGCAGCTCAGCACCCGCCATGGAGGGTGAACGATTCGGCTTGACGGGAACGGGGTGGTGAATCGCTGGCTGAACAGCCGCCCGCGCGCGCGACGACTGCACCGCGGCTCCGAGAGGCGCCCGCCGCGAGAGGTTGCCAGCGATGCGCGCGCAAGAGGTATGCCGCCGAAGCATGGCGTTCGCCTGGAGCACTGGCAATGAGACTCTTCATGAGGGTGCAGGCGAGACCCTCCATGATAATACTGCGGCCCTGGGGGCCCCAATGGGCACAGACCGGGATGGGTCCTTGGGCGCGGCTTCAATGATCACGGCCAAGGCGCCCAGGCCACCACTGGCCTGCCCAAAAGTCCGGCATGGGAACATGAAAACCCAAACGGGCCCCCGTTGTGGACCACGGGAGAACCTGAGGAATGGCCGTTATGGGCCCGCACCGGGTTTCCAGCGCCACAACGGTCCGACCCAAGAGTCCGCTACTGGACCTGGAAGAACCCAAGCAAGCTTTCGTCGCAAACCGCGATGGGTCCTTCGATTTCCGGCCGCGATGGGCACGACTGGGATCGCCAAGGACCCGGGCGGGGCCAGGACAAGCCCGCGGGGCACCAACCTCGGCACCGCAGATGCCCCGAGAAGGGCTGCAGGAGGGAGCAGAGGGAAACGGACGTGGCCACTCTGGCCCGCTCCCGAGAAACGCGGACCACGACGGGCCATCCCGCAACGGAGCAAACCAAACCGCGACCGCGGACGCGTCCGACGCGCGAGCGGGCGCGCCGCGCGTCGGCCCCAGAGGTCAGCCACAGCTGCGCGGTGGCAAGCAGAGGACGGCACCCTGGGCGGACGCCCTGCCCCTGGATGGCCACCGTGGGCAGGCAGGGCGCGGCGGGCACGACCGGGCACTTGAGATCCCGCCCCGCGGCCAGGCAGCATAGTGGAGACACTTCAACCGTGTTCGGAAAAAGGCGGTGCGCCAGAGAGGACACCGACGCACGGCCGCGCGGCATGCCGAGCAGGCCCGCGCGGGGGCCTGGCCTGCCCGACGGAGAACGGCGGCGCGCGGCGGGTGGGCACGCGGCGGCCCGCCGTCGCGCTCTGCGACGCCGACGAGGCGCCCCCCCAGCGGTAAGACATCGCATCTTTTGTTGCAGGCTCGCACGATCGGGCGTCGCAAGATTCCAACTCGCCCTGGAAGTCTTCAAGATCGTCCCCAGACAGCCCACGAGGCCCCCAAGCGAGCCTCAAAACAGCCCAACGAGGCCCAAGACGGCCTAACAGGCGCTCGAAACCGTCTCAAAGGGCCTCAAGAAGGGGCCCAGAGGGGCCTCACAGGGGGAGCACGAACGGACTGTTCGAGCCCTCCAGCCTAAGAGGCCCCCAGGAAGCCCCAGGACGCCCCCCAAGAGACCCCAACACGCGTCCAAGAAGAGGCCCCCAGCAGGCCCCAAGACGCTCCCACGATTCGCCCAAGATCGCTCCAAGACTGCACAATAGGGCCCCAAGAGCCCCCCAGACGGCCCACAAGGGTCCAAAGATATCCTCCAAGACGGCACAATAACAATAGGGCCCCAAGAGAGGCCGACCCTGAAGGCGAGCACGAATCGACATGTCGAGCCCTTCGCCCCAAGATGGCCGCCAGCAGGCCCGCAAGAGGCCCCCCTGCAAGCTCTAGCAGGCCTCCGAGGGGCCCAAATCAGGCCCCCAAGAAACCCAAGAGCCGCTGGAAAGGCCCCCAAGACACCTCAAAACAGAAGCCAAGAGACTTCCGAGGACCCATAACAAATCCCCACAGGTATTCCAGAGGCCTCTGACCTACAACCCAGACGTGGTGGCGGGATGGGCCGCATGCCATTCTCCGCCGCCCCCTGTCGATGTATCGCGGGGGTGTCTGGCGTGCTAAACTTATTACGGTTTGGTGTTGGTTATTTCCCACAAGAATGTGCCAGGCGACGGCGCGCCGGGGCGCTATCCGATTCCAGCCGATCAGCCGATCAGCCGAACAGCCGATCAGCCGATCAGCCGATAAGCGACCGCGCAGCCGATCAGCCGATCAGCCGAACCTCTTATCGGCTGATCGGCTGATCGGCTGATCGGCTTCTTGGCCGCTGATCGGCTGATCGGCTGATCGGCTGATCGGCCGCTGATCGGCTGATCGGCTGATCGGCTGCTCGGCCACTGATCGGCTGATCGGCTGATCAGCTGCACTGCAGGAGGAGGAGGAGGAAGAGGAGGAGGAGAAGGAGGAGGAGGAGGAGGGAGAGGAAAAGGAGGAGGAGGAGGAGGAGAGGAGGCAGGAGGAGGAAGAGGAGGAGGAGGAGGAGGAGCAAGAGGAAGAGGAAGAGGATAGGGAGGAGAGGGAGGAGGACAGTGAGGACAGTGCCGAGAGCGCGCAGGTGAATCACGAACACGCCTCGAAAAGGAAAAGGGACGAGAGAGAGACCCTCATCCAACAAGGGGCACTCTCCGCGCCGTGCGCGGGGCCGGGGAGCAACGGTGCGAGGGTCACTAACGGCGCAACGCCGGGCAGTCCCCACTCGCACCGCGCCCCCCGCTGGGAAGACAAACCCACGCCTGTACTTCCGCCCACTATGCAGGTGCCTCGGGCTCGGGCGCCTGCTGCGGCATCGCAGGCTCCCCGAGCTCCGAGAAGACGAGCGGCTCGAGGGGCTCGCCCGTCTTGGGATGCAGGCCCCTTCGAGCCTGCTCGAGCATCGACGCGATAGCTCCGTCCCCCCCACTCCCAGCTCCCGCCGACCCCGTCCCAGCCCTCTTGCACGCTCGAGACAGGCCGACCGACAGCCGATTGGGGCGCACAGCGTGCGCCCCGCACTTTACACAGATCAAAACTCGATCCAAGGCCTGGACCTGGTGTCCTGGCCCGACCTCCTGGGGGTCGCATGCACGGGAGGCCAGAGACTTCAACGACGAAGCCGTCGCTGCAAGCCTCCAGCAGGCTCGACATCGAATCGCTCCCCCAGCGAAGACCACAAAGTCGTGATCGGTCGGCCGCCGCGGACGGCGGGGCCGAAAGACAGCCTTCGGAGGCGCACGGAGTATCGGGGTGGAGAGGCGGGCCACGCGCTCGGCAGCCCAGGCCAGACAACGCATCGTGTCCTGGGCCCGAAGCAGAGAAAATTTGTGAGCCTTGACCACGGAGGTGGATCCAAGGAAATCTGCCGCAGCCACGCGG